TTTTTTAAAATTCAAATAGAAACTTTTCAGTTACAGTCCCACCCCTCCAAAATGGTAGAGGATGGCAAATGTGTTAACAAAGGTAACTTTTCAGTGTGTGATTTAATGAAAACAACTCTATAAGTATCCTTTGTAGATTTTCATGATTACAAAAAATGTCATTCCAAGTTTCTTAGTAGACAGTTTTTAATATCCCCATGCGGCTAAGCAGCTGCTATTTCTGTACCCATAAAGAAAAACAGATTAAAACAAATGTAAAATGAAGAAGTATTATTTGTCTTACCATAGCCATTAGAAATACAGCATAGTTAGCTTGATCTTATTGAGGGGAAAAATTAATCACTTTAATAGTAGTCATTGTTATTGTTTACTGTATTAGTCATGTTTCCATTTAAATTTTATATTTTCTTCAGACCACACACACACACAAAAAAAAAAAAAAAAAAAAGTGTAAATACTTATGTTTTTTTTTTTTTTTTATATAAACTTTTACCTTAAAAAAAAAAAAAAAAAAAAAAAAACTTTGGAACAAGAAAGCATTTATTTTAATATAAACAATTTAATTGCTTTGAAAAAGTGAATTACAGTTTTCAGGAAGAATATTTCCAATGTATGTACTGTGTAGATTGAAAAAATCAATAATAAAAATACTCAAAAATTGTATTTAACTGAAGCAACTTGCCATCTAATGTGGAATTCAACCATCTGCAAGCTCATTTTGTCATTTATCATGGGCTCAGTAATGACTAAGTTATTAAAAATCACAGAATACTAGTTGGTCATACCAAATTCTTAATATACCTGAATTCATAAATGAATCACCTATATGGATTTTTGTTGTTTGTCAGTGTATATAAATAAGCAATATAAAATGTATAAAATTATATATTATTTAATAAATATTATCATTTTTAATTTCAGGCATGTAATCAGGAAGCTGGAAGTTGTTCCTCCTACCCGATTGCAGGCTATGTTAGAGTACAATCATGCCCTTGAGACCAAAGATACAGGCCCTTGTGGAGGGTATTCTACTCAGTATGCTTGTATGTGTGATTACCATAGTTTGCCATATCGAGAAGAAGTTGCTTGGGTGAGTGATAAGTTTCTTGGATTTTTTTAGTAAGTAGTTTTAGAATTTTTTAATTTAGCTAAGATAGTTAGTTCTTTAAATTAGTTCTTCAGTAGTTATAATAAAATGTTAAGTGGTATATTTTCACTGTTCAAAAGTGCATTTTTATCAAAAAAAGGATGCATTAATGCTTCTTGATACATTAATCTCAGTAAAAAAAACTTGATGAACTGGTAGACACATTTAAAAATTTCTATTTTTAATTTGAGTTTGGCTTTGTAGGTATGGAATCTACTGATTTACTTGGCTGATATTAAGGACAATGTTCAAGGTTAATACACAGTAATGATTAATTTGAAGGTAACACAGGAAAGAGGAATAATCCGTGTTGTAATAACAGAAAAATACTATAAAATTAGTAATACAACAGTTTTGAGCTTGGCCTAGATTTAAGTCAGGATCTTAATCAATTTCGAGGACAAACAGGTACAGATCCAGGAGCAAAGAAATCTACAATCTTGTAGATATCTTTGCTTCTGATGAAGAGGGACCTGTACCTGTTTGCCTTTGAAATCGATTGATTGGCTTAAATATATGCTAAACTCAAGGTTGTTGTGTTACTAATTTTATGTTTCACTTGGTATGCATCTCTTCTGCTTTCAGAAAAATACTAGTAAAATTTTATTTTCAGACAGCTGAATGCAGAGAGTAAGTTTGCTGTGTAAAAAACAAAACAAAAAAGAACATTGTAACTGACAGAAGAATAAAGTTCACTTAAAATGAAGAAACTAACTTTATAAATTACTATGGTCTAATAAATCATAAATCTCTGTAATTATCCCATACATTTTTGTTTTGTTTTGTTTTGTTTTTGTTTTGTTTCCTGTTTGTACTTTACACAGATAGTTTTGTTTTATACTGGTGGTTTTTGGTTGTAAATGTTTCCATGGCTGGGGGGGGGGAAAGAGCTTATTTCTTGGGAGGGGGGGATAGAACATGGTTAATCCGTAATCCAGCTGATCACAAGTGGTTAATGAGAAGTTAATTAAAAAAATTAAGTTTTAGTTTGGAAAAGCTGTGGAGCCTATCAATTACATGATTAACTAGAGAATCAGTCTAATTTGTGCTTAAATTCACCTTCAGTGGCTTACTTTAATGAGTACAGGTGTGGCAATTCTGAGATACCCTAACCCTTCAGGGGATTATCTTCTTGGTAAGGCAGTTGACACCATCCTGCAGTCCCAGTGATCTATTCCCATTTCCTTCCCTTAGCTACTATTTTCCCCTATTTTTTGCCCTTGTGGTTTTCCTCCTCTTAGGCTGGGGCTCATCATGAAAAGCTGTTACAGCGCTATTTTCTAGTTTTCAAGTGGTGAGAAAATTGCCTACGTGTTTGCCATGGGGGGGTGTCATTGGAAAAGAGGGCCTTCGTAGATGAAAGCCATGGTGCTGTCCCCAACACTCTGCTTTGGCCTATGCTTCAGCTAAATGAGAGGCTTGTTGTTGTCCTCATAGGTGTCAATCAGCTGTCTTGCTTGATCTTTGTCAGCGGCTTAGGGATAAGTTTTTGGGAAAATCGACTGTGGGGCTTCCGTTTGCATATAGAACCAGTTAGCCCTGGTGCAAGAATTTGCATCCATGGTGGATGGAGCCACCAGGTCCAAATCCTTTATCTAACTCAGTATGGCTTCTCAAAATAAAACAAATGTGGAAAATGAGAATATTTCACAATATGGCAATCAAAAGAAAATTCCATCCCAATTTCTTGTCATTAGTAACACCACAGGCAATGTGCAAAAAATGTCACATTTTATACTAGATAAAAATATTAAATCTGTTATTGGGGAACCAAATAACATCAAATAGATGCATTCTGTTGATCCACTAGCAGAAACTGTTTCATCTATTCAATTTGTCACCCTCCTTGGATAAAAAAAAAGTTAGGGTAAGGTGACATTAATATTTCAGAACATAAATCATTAAATTACTATTGTTGCGTTACTTCTGATCTTCTATTTGCATCTGCAGAGGAAACTGTCTCAGAGCTGTCCGACCAGAATGTCTGTTCTGCAAGGCAGATCAAGTTGCACTGAAAAGGTCAGTTAATAAATACGAAACACATAACTCCTGACCTTCTGTTTGCTTGATCTTCCGAAAAGTATTAAACGGAGTATTTACACTGCTGTGTAAGACTTTACATACAAAACCCCTCAAGATGTTTACAATACCAGCACTTTGGCCATTCAAAAGTGTCCTTTTGTGGCAAAGTGCATGTTGCTCTGTGGGAGACCACATGAGTGAAAATTGCGGTGCTGAGTGTTATATGTAAATTGTAAAGAGCAGCACATAACTTTCTCTTAACTATGCCTGAAAATGGAAAATAGAAAAGGAGGTGCAAATATTAAAAGTAACAAAGAATATTTTTTTAGGCAAGAAAATTAATAGCAGATTTGCGACTACATCAAAATATACCATATGCTATTGCATTTAATTCTGTGAAATCAATCACTGCACATACTCACAAAATACACAGCTTGTTCTAAATTTGCAACATCACAGCACAAAAACCCATGGCATCAATAGTAAAAATATTGTATACAGTCAAAAGTCGTTAATCCGGACTCGTCGGGACTTCGGTGATTCCGGATTATCGATTTTTCCGGATTATAGATCATCAGTTTAAATCTCGTAAGATGGCATGCAGAAATTCTAAAATTAAAAATAAAACCGTATTATGAATAAAGAACATTATGATCTAAAGTATCAAAATTACATAAAAAGCTTAATTTTATTTGTTTACTTTATTAAACATTTTTTATGTGTGTTTAAGTTGCTTTGTTTTATGTGATAATAACTTTCTCTTTAATTCTATAAACAGACAATTTCTTGTTAGTTACAAAGTTCCGCTGTTGAGTCCCGTTAATTGCTGTTGGAGAATACCAACTAACTTGTCAATGAATTTTTCATTTTCACTAACCTCTGTCACTTCTTCAGTCTTTATCCATTTTTGCAGCAATTCCACTTTTGTTTGTTGGACATCAACATACTTCGTTTTGTAGATCCTTTAGAAGTTCCAATCGGAATTCTATTTGACATAATCGAAAGTTCAGTTTACTTTTATAATAAAATTGCTCTTACAGTCTGGCAAAAAATAATAAGTGATCCAATTCGAAGATAAGGAACAAACGCAATCATTAACATTAACTGAAATAGATAATTAGATAATTTTAGCTTACACCGTCCGTTATATACATAAACGCGCGGTGAAAACGTATTCTGCACTTGCGCACATGCATATGCGCAGTAGTCAAGGTCTTACGCGCACGCGTTAAACGCCTGTGCGCAGAAAGTTTTTAGCTTTGAGTCTGGATTATGGGTGTCCGAACTAACGACTTTTGACTGTAATAAGCAAACATAGCAGAACTCAACTGAAGATAAGAAAGGAGCAAATAAATCTCCAAAACCTCCTAGAAATCCCAGTGCAAGCCCTTTTGGATGCATCTATTCAGATAATATAGATACTGATGACATGGGCATAGAAGCGGGACTGGGCATCCTGAGGCACCTGCTTCTATGTAAAGCAAAAACACAGCACCGAAAAAGTAGACAGCATTCATAACAACATCTTTATCTCATAGAATTTATGTAGCTTTCACCAAAATCTTGTTAACATCAAAGACGTGATCAATGAACGTCATCCTGTATGTTTGTCACTGCAGGAGACTCATTTAAAACCAGTGAAAGAAGCTAAACTTCAAAGTTTCTCATTTGTCTGGGAAAGCCTTCTGTAGATGAGCATGCAAGTGGAAGTGTAGGTCTCGTCACTTCAACTTGACTACCCCTCCATTTCATTTCCTTTAAAAATTAGTCATTCCCATTCAAAGAAATATAAGGATTCTGGTGTCAGGTTTTAGTGTCTATTTGCCTCCCAATGAATGTGTTGATGAATGTGATTCAGATGATTTAATAGAGCAGCTTCCTCAACTTTTTATCATAATAAGGAAATTTAATACCCATAGTCTGCTCCAGGCAAGTAAAAACACAAATCCTCGAGATAGGCAAATTGAGAAAATGATTGAAGATCATTGCCTTTGTCTCCTCAATAATGGACGGTAGTAATTTATTTTGTCTCCTCAATAATACTTCCACGAGCCTGCATATATCTTTCATGCTATTGATCTTGACATCTGTACGTTATCCCCCTCAGAGGCTCACTTTTGTGAGTATGGGTGTGGCAATCCTGAGGTACCCTAGTCCTTCAGGGGATCATCTTCTTGGTGAGACGGGTGTCACGATCCTGGAGCCCCAATGATCTATCCTCTTTTCCATCTTCTCTCCTCTGACCTGATACTCTTTTCCTTCCATCCTCCCTTGTGGTTTCTTTCTTCGGAGTTTGGGGCTCGTCACGAGAAACTGGAGCAGCCCTTGTCTCTAGTTTTCGAGTGGCGAGAAAACTACCCACGTGTTTGCCGTGCACAGAGACCCGTGTCGCTGGAAAGGAGGGTCCTGGTACTTGAGGGGCGAGGTACTGTCCCCAACACACTGCTTTGGCCTCTGCTTCAGCTAAACGAGAGGCACCTTAGTCGTCCTCACGGGTGTCAATCGGCTGGTCCATAGTCCTTGTGTCGGTGGTTTGGGGATAAGCTCTCGGGAGTACCTGCTTTCGGGAAAGCCGACTGTGTGGCTTCAGTTTGCGTATGGACCTGGTTAGCCCTGGCGCAGGAATCTGCGTCCCCTTGTTAGGCTCCGTGGTGGGTGGGGCTGCTGGGTCCGAATCATACTTCATCTATCAATATGGCCTCTTCAAATGAGAAATACGAAACTTGTCTTCCATCAAAAAAAGTAAAAACGAATGTGAATGCAAATGCTAAAGAAATTCTACCTAAATTCCTTGTCATAACTAACTCAATAGGCGAACTTCTAAAAATGTCACCATTCCTGATACAAAAACATATACAAGTGACTATTGGTGAGCCAAAGACAATAAAATGACTGCGCTCTGGAGACCTTCTTATAGAAAC